CAGCTGGGGGCTGGGTGAGGTCTCCCCTAGCCCGCGATTAAGGTTCCCCGGGACACAAACGCGGATGCGGGTCCTGGGCACTGAGCGGCGAGGAGGCGCTGGAGTAGTCTTCGAGGTCCGCGCCTCGGTTTTCTCGCCATTTCCACACTGCCCTGCGCGTGGGCGGGACGCGCTGGGGGTCGGTGGAGACGCACGTGCAGGGGTGGCCATGAAGAACCCCTCCGCTGTGGGGCAGGGGCTTCCCAGCCACCACCCTGCCCGCAACCATCGCAGATCCCACTCAGTCCGACATTGTCCGGAACTCGGGACCCTTGGGGAGCAAGCTACCTTGAGGCCCGCGGCGCCCAGGTTGAAGGGACGGGGAGTCCCCCGGGCCTCCTTACCCTGAGGGTTGTTGCAGGGCAGAAATCGCTTCATCAGAAGGAAACCCTCGCAGACTCACGTCCTCTCACAATAGCAGGACTCAGCCGAAAGCCTGGTATACAGGGTCTCTTCCGCAGGGACAAAACTGAAAGGCGAAGGTCTCATTGGCCTAAGGAGGCAAGGACTCCCTAAAGTGAGAGCCAGGGCCGCGTTCATCTCGCACTGGGATAAAACGGCGTGTGTGTGTGTGTGTGTGTGTGTGTGTGTGTGTGTGTGTGTGAGTGTGAGGTGGCGCGCGGCTCTGCCCTGGTGTGTGATCATATTTGGGTACACTGGAGGGAGCAAGTGGGGGCCAGGCGTGAGCTGCCCCATTTGAGGGATGAGGTTTCGGAGGCCCACGCGGATGAGTCTGTGTGGAGCCCATGTTTCCTATATTTTTCCAGGGATTCTAGAACAAAAGGAAAGAGCAGGCCAGCAGGTGAGACCGTCCTGGTGCTGGCGGATGGCAGCTGGTTGGCCTTCTTTTTCCCACACCAGCAGTGCTGGATTAGGGACAATTCCGTGGGGTAGATGGGTTGAAGAAGGCCTCCACAGATCCTCAAAACTGGGAGGATTACACGAGTTCGATGGCTGTGGAGGCAGCACATGGTGATGGAAGGAGGAAAAGGGGGTTCTAATCTTGACTCGCTGTGTGACAGGTTAATAATAGCAGCTAACTTGCATTGAGAGCTCAGGGTGCCAGGCATCGTCCTAAACCCTCCCGCAGGTAATCTCATCCAGTCCTCAAAACAGTTTGGTGAGACAGGTACTAGCACTGCTCCATTGACAGGTGAGGAAATCAAGGACGAGAAAGGGGAAACTTGGCCACCCCCAAAAGGAGAGTGGGGTAGAACCAGGAACCAAAGCCATGCCGTTCAGACCCCAAGCTTCACTCCTTAAGCACCTGCCAGCCTGCTTCAACTTAGCAAATCGCTGAGCCTCTCCAAGCATGGGTGTCCTCCTCATGTGCACAGAAGCACCAGGCTCATGGTGTAGATTCAAGAAATATTGTGGAATGAATGAATGAATGAATGAAACGCTACCCCTCAGGGTAACTGTAAGGCCTGTACTAGATACAGTCCTGTAAACGGCAGGCACTGTCATGCGTTCAACAACTCATCTTAGGAACCCCTGGAGTGCCAGGCAGCGAGGAAGCATTAGTTAGTTCTGTGCTCCCTACACTAGACAGACACCTGGGCGTGTTCCCATCTGAGAGCCCTGCCCTCACTGGCCCATTCCTACTTTCCTGTCAGAGCCACCAAAGTGCTTTGACCTTGGCAGCTAATGAATGAATACACTTCGAAGGCAACAGCCCCTGGCAACTAGACAATTTGAAGTAACCAGATTCTTATCCACTTTTCTATCCAGAGAGGCCAAAACATATCCAGACATTTTTTTTTCCACTTTAAGCATTTTGTGTAAGCGAGGACTATTTTTACAAAGGCCTCTCTATATACCAAAGTCTGTCTCACCTCTCCCCGGCCCCCTCCAGGTGCGAGTACACCAAGCCCATCTGTATTTCCTCTAGAACCCCAGCACCCAGACATACACACACTTCTAATTTATAAGCAAAGGGGGACTATGGAGAAAGGGGAGTAGGGTGGTAGCATCAACAAGCTTCAACTTAGGTGCCAGGTGTGCTGTGCCGCATATCCCGACACAGCTACGAAACAGTGCACCCCTTCAGGTGTTAAATTTAACCCAGAGCCCCAAGGAGTCCTGCTCCCCAGTCGGCCTATGGGTCAATCTTGTAAATGTGAAGAAGAAGACGTAGAAGGATAACAAAGTCCTGGGATTCGGTCATGGTGATGGTTGCAGAATTTTGTGAATATACTGAAACCCATTAAATTGTGCACTTTTAAATGGTGAAATTTGTGGTATGTGAGTTATATCACAGCAGAAAAAGAAAGGAGCCACATTTGTTCCTTACTGGCTAAAAGTACAGGTCCACACAGAGCCCCGCCCTCTTGAGAAACGCTAACTCCCCTGACTTAGAAAATCTATCCTGGTTGTAGGTAACACAGGAGAGTCAGGCATCCTATGGCTGTAGCCATTCCCTGCAGGGGCCTGACTGTGGGGCCAAGTGGCTAAAAGGCCAAGGCAGCCTGTCCCTTACACGCCTGAAGACAAGACGACAGGGGCCCCAGACTGGATCCTGCAGGAGAAAGGGGTCTTTCGGGGAGGGGCTTTCTTCATTGGAGCCCCGACATCAGAGGATAACTTGGTGGGGTGATGGTGGATGGGCCAGTTGTGTGTGTGTGTGTGTGTGTGTGTGTGTAGCATGTGGGGGTGCTCCAGGGAGCCCACCTAGCACTTACAAAGCCCTTGTGTCACCAAGCATAATTTTCAAGTCCCCATCTCTGACTAAGGCAGCCCAACTTGACTTGCTGGGTTGGTGAAGAAATTACCCTCAGATTAAAAAGAAATAAATGTAAGAAGTTGAAATGCTGTACAAAGGGGAGAATTACTTTGAAGTGCCTACTCATTGCTATGCTGACTGGGTATTTGAGCTAAACATAGCTTTACAGTTCCGTTTATTTTCCTGAAGTTGCTCTTTGGCTTAGGAAAAAGGTTAATTTGATGCATAATTGAGGACAGAGAGAGGCCAACTTATTCTTAGGCGATATCTATCTATGGATCGATTGACCAGTAGATATTCGATACATATGCATACATGCATTATTTAGCTACCATTTATCAAGTCCTCATGATATACGTTATGCACTGTTATGTGCTTTGCAGACTCGTTCCCATTTGATCCTCCAGCGCTCTATGAAATCCCCAGTATTATGCCCATTTAGCAGGTGACAAACTGAGTCTCAAAGAGGCTTTTGTTCCGCATCCTTGTCTCAGGTCATTCAGCAGAGGCCCAAATCCCTGAACCTGGGATTTGGACTTCTGCTGAATCCCAAAGGCAGGGCAGTTGGCCTCAGAACACAGGGCCGCTGTTTGACAAAGGCACTGGCACAGGAGAAAACCCCTCCATTTTTATTGGAATAAGTAAAAACCCCAACCTTGAGTCCAGAGAAGTGAGACTTGCCCAGATCTGTTTGCTGCCTGCAGCTTTCATAAATACACGTAAGTGGTATTTCCCATTTCTCCAGTTGAGAGAGGGGAATAGGACCAGTTTTTTTTTAATGATGATGGTGGCCCTAACCTGCCATCTTAAGGGCTGTGGGAAGCAGCGCACCCCGAGCCTCCTGTCTTGGGTGTTGCCCCCACTGTCCTTTCAGAAGAGACCTAAGGCAGTCAGGTCTGCAGCTTTTTTTCCCCTGGGGAGGCTGGGTGGGATGACGGAGGAGAATGTCCTCCTCTCTCAGACAGGACCAACCCACAGCCCTCAATGTCACAGCTTTTTGGACACATGAGTGTTGCTGACCCACATATTGGATTATTCAACAAACACATTAGAGGGTCTCCCTTGGTGAGGCCTGGGCCCAAGTGCTTTACGTTGTTTAATTCTCATAATAACCTCAAGCTTTTATCATCCCCATCTTATGGATGAAGAAACTGAGGCACAGACAGTTTCGATAACTTGCCCAAGGTCATGCCACTCGTTAGCAGCAGAGCTGGGATGTGAGCCTGGATGGCCTGGCTTCAGATCTGCCGTCACCCCCGCTGTATGTGCTATGGCAGCCCCCAGGGCACAGAATCCACCCCTCTCTCTAGGAGTTCTAGTCCTTGGGGTTGGCTACAGATGACTCTTCCCCAAACACCTCGCCCTTTGAAGTGCATTCCTTCCTGTCTGCTGAAGTCATCGGGGCCATCCCAGCCCATTCCAGATAGTCCAAAGGTCTGGGACTCCACCCTCTCCTTCCCCAAGGCTTATTGGCCCCATTGCAAGTTTCCAAACACCTTCCCAACAATCTTCACGCTCCCTGAGGGAGGGGGTACAGCTCTCCCTGGCCACAGCCCTTCCACAGAGAAACGTTTCCAGTCTTATCCTGTCCCCAGAACCCAGTGTCAAAGGGACCTTTGGGTGGTTCTTCCCAAGACAAAGAAGGACTCCTCCAAGATAGCTCCATGACCACTGCCAGAAATAGAGGCAGCACACAACTTTTATCTCAAATCAAAAGTTACGTTCTGCCTCACCAGGTGCTACCCCACAAGATATATGGTAATATGTATATTATATAATCTGTGTAACGTGTCATATTATACATTATATGTATATATAGTCTATTGCTCCAGATTGATGGTTCTTAACTTTTTTGGATCACACCATCCTTTGAGAATCTGGTGAAAGCTATTAACAGTTTCCAAGAAAAAAACAACAACAACTTGCATCACATAAAGTTTTACTCACAATTTCAGAAGATTCCTCGACTGCCCCCTCTTTACACTTCCTCCCAACAAACCTAAAAGGTGAAAGATAGTGTGGTGCTGTCCTTTAGAACTGTCTATGGCGGTGGAAGTGTCCCGTGTCTTTGCTGTCCAATACAGTAGCCACTGGCCACACGTGACTATTGGTTTTTATTAATTAAATGACATGTAAAATCCAGTTTCTTCTCCATTGCATTGATGTGTGGCTAGTGGCTACTGTACTGGACAGTGCAGCTCTAAAATCTACCCTGAATTAAATCAGAGCATCAGAAAATTGCAAACCTGGGCCATGTCACCTGTTGGCTTGCTGTCACTGGCTTATGTTGAAGAGCTTTGTGAGAAAGAGCCCTAGAACTCAGCTCCCGGTGCACTGTTTACTGTAAGGAGCTGTTCAGTGCACGAAGCATAATAGGTATTGACAGGCATCTCCATGACAATCCACTTTTAGTGTGTGGGATCCCTAAATGCAACACGGTAAAGAGACTCTTCTTTGGTCACCAGATTGTCCTTTCAACGAGTTGAGGGCTAAAGGCCTTTCAATAT